GCCACCGCCGCCGCCACCGCCCCCCGAGCCGCCGCCGCCGCCCCCAAAGCCGGAGGATAGCCGCTTCCCGGACAGCAGCTTCTCCACGGCCGGGAGGTGCCCAGTGCGGGCCGCCTCCAGCAGCTCCTGCTCCTTCCCCATCCCCAGGGCCGCCGCCCCTTGGCCCCCTACCAGGGGTCGCCGCCAAGCCTGCTCCGGCTCCCAAACTTTCCGTCTCCGGGCAACGCACCCCTCAAACCGGCCAGGGACGCCACCCCCCTCCCCCCGCTACTCCTCTCCCCGCCCCCGGCGCGTCACTTCCGGGATCCGGCGTCACGCGTCACCGCGCCCCGTGCCCCGCCCCCTTGCCCACCTGGTGGGCGGGGCTCCGTAGGACAGTTCAGGTGACCGACAGGAGCCAAGCCGAGCCGAGCCCAGCCGAGCTGAACCGGCGCCCTTCCTGCTGGTGGGAGCGGACGAAGCAGAGCACCTATGGCGCGCTCCTTCCAAACCTTGGGCACCTTACGGGACTAGAAATAGGGTCATCCTCCAGACACTACAGAAACGGAGAGGAAGCGGATGGCGCGCACCTCCGTTTCCAAATCCATTTAAGATTCAGAGATTCCCTACGGATGGGTCGGGAGGGCTCGGGGTTGACGGACAGAAACCCGCCCTCCCGGGCCTGCTGGAGGAAGACGGGAAGCTTTAGTACGGAAACCCCTCGCTTCCACACTACCCATCCGGGAAATGGCTTCAGAGAACCTGCGGAGGCTTCCTTAGTTTTGGTGAGATGAGCCAAACTGACATTTTTTAAAATGAGACTTGGGGAACCAGTCGGGGCCTGTTTTCCGGCTTCCTCTAGCTTCCAGCCCTGGCCTGGCCGGAGCAGGTGGGCACGAGCTGAGTGCAGTAGCCGCGGGGCCTGCGGGGAGGGAGTGCGGCGATACTCGGGGGTCGCCGGCCCGTCTCGGGGCGCTCGAGAACCCGCAGAGCTTTGCCCCAAGCACCCCAGGCCGTTGCCCTCTGGGATCACAGGGCGCAAGTTCATGAGGGCGGCGCCGCCGTCGCACTCCCAAAAGCAGCGGAGAAACGGAAGTCGCGCGGAGGCGGACGCCGCTCCACCTAGACACGTCCCTAAAACAAAGCATCCACACTACAAATTCCCTCCTCTCGAAAGCAAACCCTAGTCGACCGTGCGCGCTAAATGGCCCCATGCGGCAGCGGTAGGGTGACGTCATCGCTGCGCGACGACCGGAAGTAAGCCGCGGTGCCGCGCGCTTCCCGGGGCAGTGCCGTGATGGACAAGGCTGGAGAGACGCCCGCGGACCAGGGCGGGGAGCCGGGGGAGTCCGAGGAGACGACCGCTGCTCCCGGGAGCGCGGCGGGGGCCGACGCGAAGGATATCCTGGAGGAAGCGGGCGGAGACTGCGAGGCCGACCTGAAAGAAGCTGCGGCGGAGGAAGGCGAGGTAGGAGGCCCGGGGCAGGCTGCGTTTGTGCTGCTGCATGTCTTCCCAGCGCCCCGAGTCGGCACCGTTCTAGCTGGACGCCGAGCTCACCGCCACCCAGTGAACCTGCAACCCAGGGGTTGCAGCGGAGGACGAAAAAATCAGGTGCTAGTTCGGTCGCTCAGGCCAGGCCCTGCGTTAAATCGTGCTCTTGCCTTCGTGGAACATCAAACTGTACCAGTACCCTGGCTGCTAACGGCCAGGGGCTCCGAACTCAGTAAAACCGTCGCCTGAGCCATCCCAAGAGCTCAGCATCGTTAGCTGAATCTCGAGCCTTCGAGTTCCACTTCTGCAGCTAGCATCTGAGTTTTTAGAGCTAGAAGTGACTGGAGAGTTCATGGAGTGAACCTTAATAAGATGGAAGGAGCCTTTCAGAACGTGACATTGCGTCAGAATGTTCAAAGTGAGAGCTTGGAAAATGTGATAAAAACTTTGTGGGATGTTATTTTGGTTTCGTTTTTGAGGCAGCATCTCCCTAGCCCAAACTGGTCTGATTCTCTTGCCACAGACACCAGCATTCTTTTGAGAAGGGAACTCTAAGCAGAATGCCCCACCAATCGAGAGGCTGATGCAGGAGAATATGAGTTCCAGGGGCTACAAAATGGGGCCTGTCTTCACCACCGTTCCCTGAAAAAAATAGGAAGGGAGGGAAGGGTGGAAAAGAAAGAAGAAACGTTCAGGACAAATAAACTTGAAAAATACAAGAAATAGGAATTTTGTTTAGGAAGAACAGAGGTTAGAAAACTAGTATAAATCAGTAACTAGAAAGGAGTTGAAAACATGGTCAGATATAATATGTTCATCTGATGAATTTAAATCTGAATTTCTCTTTAGGAACCATTAAATCTCATGAGTTTTGATGTGTACTTGAGATTCCTTATTAAGTTGGTTGGGGCAAAGTTTGGATTTTTGTTCTTATTGAACAGACATTTATAAACATCTGTCATGTAAAACCGTTGAAAGTTGGACTTTTGCTTATGGCAGAAGCAGGCAAAATAGCTCACTTTGCATGCAAGACTGGGGACTTTCATATCCACAGAGTTGCCCTTTGCTCACTTCTCAAGCACCCACACGCAAGTGGATGCACACAATGAATATGAATGCTTTATTTCCCATTTTTAAGCTGGGTGTGGTGGTGCATGTCTGTAATTCCAGCAGGGAGGCTGGAGCAGGATGATTTCCACAAGTTGGGGGATCAGAAAGAACTAGACCAGCCTAGGCTACATAGTGAGACCTTGTCTCAAATTACAAAAGGTTTCCAGTCTAGTAATGGGAAAGATGTTAGCACGACCCATCCAGTAGAAGAAAGGATGGGATGAACAGAGCACTTCTGGGACTTCTCAAGAGGGAGATGCTGCTGGACAAAGGGAGGTCAGAGGGCTTAATAGGTGGCTTAATGGTTTAGGAGTACTTTGCTACCCCTTCAGAGGGCCTGGGTTCAGTTCCGAGCACTCACACGACAGCTCACAACTGCTTATAACTCCAGTTCCAAAGGAGCCAGACACACACATGGTAATCATTTATATATGCAGGCAAACACTAAAAATTTCTTTTAATGTGAAGAGTGGGCCCTGGGGAAGGTGGTTGTTTCGATCCTTGGAATTTTTTTCTTTACTTTGCTAAATGTAAAGAGACTAGAACTATCTGTAATCACAGCTAAACTGGATTATTTAGCTATTTTTCTTTCCCTGTGAGGCTATAATCTTCCTTTGGGAGAGAGATTACACAGTCTGTCTTACACTGCATAAGTGGATTGTTGTGCTGTAATGAGGCGGCTGTTTTCTGACCTTGCCCAAGCATGAAAAGTAGGCCACATATATAACAGTTTCTGTCTGTCTTCCCAGCTCAAGAGTCAGGATGTCTCAGATTTAACAGCAGTTGAAAGGGAAGACTCATTACTTACTCCTGCAGCCAAAAAGCTGAAAATAGACACCAAAGAAAAGAAAGAGAAGAAGCAGAAAGTAGACGAAGATGAGATTCAGAAGATGCAGTAAGTCACTTGCCAGTCATCCTGCTCCAAGGTGCTAACTCCCTTGTGCAAATGAATCTTACTCATCTTTGACACCCCCCCCAAAAGAAATCTGTTCATATTAAAAACCCTGATTTCAAAATCTATGCATGTTAAATTTTTACTGTCAATGTGAAATACAAAGTCTTTGACCTCAAATTGTTAGGTCTTCTGAGGGGCGGGGATATGCGCTCATAGCCAATGATTGCCTGGAACTTCCATATGCCTCCATTTCCCATGTGCTGGGATTACAGGCATGCACCACCATTTTCGCTGTTTTTTTTGTTTTTTTTTTTTTCCTTTTGGTCCTCTTGACAGGGTCTCCCTGTAGCCCCAGCTGGCCTGGAACTCACTATGTAGACCAGGGTGGCCTAGAACTCACAGAGATCTGCCTGCCTCTACCTCCCGAATGCTGGAATTACACCCAGCTGTTTTTGTCTGTAATGGAAGATTTTCCCTTTTTCTCATTCCAAAGTTCTTCAGAAGTAGAAGTGTTTTATTGCTATTCCAGTGACTCCTGGAAAGTACATTTTTGTCTGATGCTTGCTTTTATTGACTTCATATGTCTTTAGTATTCATTCTCATTACCCAATTTAATTACCTGAATTTTTCTAGAATCCTGGTGTCGTCTTTTTCTGAGGAGCAGCTGAACCGTTATGAAATGTATCGCCGGTCGGCCTTCCCCAAAGCCGCCATTAAAAGGGTGAGGATGGGGGGCTGGAGAGATGGCTTAGTGGTTAAGAGCACTTGCTGCTCTTGCAAAGTATCTGGGTTCGGTTCCCAGCACCCACATGGCAGCTCACAACCATCTGTAACTCCAGTTCCAGGGAATCTGATGCCTTCTTCTGACATTCATTGGTACCAGGCAGGCATGTGGTAGCACACATAGGCAAAGCACTCCTGTAAAATGAATCTTTAAAAGGTGGGGATGGGGTTGGGGATTTAGCTCAGTAGGTTCGGGCCTCAGCTGGGGTGGGGGAGACAAAAAAGGTGGGGATAAGGATGTGCTGCCCCACCTCATTTCCCGTCATATTAGAACTGAACCAGACTCCACAGCTGTGTCCATCAGCATTTTGAAGTGAGTTGTAAGTAGATTACTTAGGTGGGAAGATAAAATAACATCTCTAACCCCAGCTTTGAATGCCAGGTATAGGGAGGGTCTAAGTAGAGTAGGTCATAACACATGAGTCTTAAGAGTCTTAATTTCAACACATAGCCTTCAGTGCAGTTCCTCCTTACTGTACTACGTTCCAGTCAGTCTTTGACAACCTTGACAAGTCTCCCTCTTTCTTCCAGCTGGTCCAGTCCATCACTGGCACCTCTGTGTCGCAGAACGTCGTTATTGCCATGTCGGGTATTTCCAAGGTCTTCGTGGGAGAAGTGGTAGAAGAAGGTGAGTAGTGCTGGTTCCCCAAACTAGATTGCTCCTGTTAGGATCAGATTTTCAGGAGTATCGACCACAGATACTTCAAGCTCTTGTGGGAATTTCCAGCCACACTAGAATTGACCCTGTGGGAAGCTTTGTCTTCAAGAAAGCATGACCGTTGTTACATTGGGGACACAGAAATCTAGAAAATCCTTCGTTCCTGTCCTTAGCCCAGGGTGGCAAAAGCAGTTCTGTATTTTTTCATCAGACCTCACGTCTTGAAAGTAGTGTCCCTGGTGTCGTCATCCCTGAGAACTGCCCTGTCTGCCAGTAGAAAGCCCGCTGCTTCTCACTGCTAATGTTTTTTTAAAAGATTTTTTTTTTTATTTTATGCATATGCATGTATTGCCTGCATGTAGGTAAGTGCACCCGTGTTATGCAGTGGCTGCGGAGGACAGAAGAGGCCATTGGATCCCCTGGACCTGGAGTCATAGACAGTTGTTAGCTGCCATGTGGATGCTAGGATGCAAACCCAGGTCTTCTGCAAGAACCACCACTGTTCTTAACCACTGAGCCATCTCTCCAGCCCCTCACTTACTTTCTTAAGCAGAAGATAAAGGTTAAACTTGCCTGTCATAAGCTCCCTTTGCAGTGACTAAGGCCAACATTCGAGGTGATAGCATTCTCTTAAGGCTTGCTAAGAGTTAGCCTTACTGGACAAAGGGTTGTGATCAAGTTCTTGTGTAACAGTGCACTTTCTGCTTTCCCTGAACTAGCCCTGGACGTGTGTGAGAAGTGGGGAGAAGTGCCACCGCTGCAGCCCAAGCACATGAGGGAGGCTGTTCGGAGGTTGAAATCCAAGGGGCAAATCCCAAACTCAAAGCACAAGAAAATCATCTTCTTCTAGAAAGCCAGAGAGAATATTCTGTTCTAAACTTCTCAGGCAAGGCTGCACTGCTGCTTTACTGCCATCCTGCTTGTCACACCTAGAAGGCAGGCAGCCTATCTGGATCACCCTCATGCAGCTGGAATGTCCTCGGGCTAGTTGGAAGAAGGGTCTGGGGCCTTCAGCAGCTCCCAGAGGGAGGTGCTTTCAAAGAGACCGAGTAGAAGGCTGATGGCTCACATTGGAACCTGAAATGCTGGACTTGAGTTCTTCCCTCTGCTTGAAGAAACCACCCAGAACTTTGACTTGTGCTGCTCTACATGAAGATACATGAAGATAGCAGTGGAATGATTTGTGCTTGTGAACATTGAAGATTCTCTGGATTTTGGTGAGTGACATTAAACTTTTCCAACGTGTATATGTCTGTTCATTTTGTCAGGAGCAAAGTTCATCAATTTTCAGTGTCTTAAAACTAATCTCAGCCTTTTCATGAAAATTTATGAACTTTTCATAACCTAAGATCATGAAAACACTGCAAGCAGTTTTTGTTGGTTTTGAGATGGTTTCTCACATCTGCTAGGTTAGCCCTGAACTCTATACAGCTAAGGATGAACTTGAACTTTTGATCTTCCTGCCTCCACCTCTTCACTCAGGATTATAGGTGTGCACCTCAGTTTATGCAGTGCTAGGTAGTTGCTAGGCCACACCCCAGCCCTCAAAACACTGTTTACAATCGTATAAATACAGACACTTAGCCAGGAAGGTCCCAAGTTTTAGACCAAGCTGGGCTACATCACAAGAGCCTATCTTTAAAACAATCACAACTGGGGCTGGAGAGATGGCTCAGCAGTTAAGAGCACTGACTGCTCTTGCAGAGGACCTGGGTTCGATTCCCAGCACCCACATGGCAGCTATGAACCATCCTTAACTCCAGTTCCAAGGGACTCCAAAGCCCTCTTCTGATCTCTGTAGCATTGCACGACATGGGTGTACTCACATGCAGGAGTACACACATACACATAAAATTTTTTAATTTTAAAAATAAAGGAATATGAAAAAAAAACAAGACTGGATGTGGTGGTGCATGCCTTTAATCCTAGCAGAGGCTGGTGGGTCTCTTGAGTTCAAGGCCAGCCTCCTCTACATAGTGAGTTCCAGTCAGAGCGACCCTGTCTCAACCACCACCACCCTCAAAAAAAACCCATCACAACAAAAACATGCAAAACTCGTATTTCAACTCCTATAAACAAATATACCACAACCAACATTGTTTAATAATAGTATTTAATTTGTTTTAATCAGGTGGTTCACAGAACCAGTACACTCAGTTTGATTAGATATTACATTACAGTTTGTGAATACTGACCAGGATTCCAGTGTTAGGTAATTCCCATTGCCCTCCTCAGGAGTGGAGTGGTGGTTCACTGACAGTGATTGGTAAGGCGACCTGATATAACTGGAGAGCCACCAAGCTGCTTCCCATGTGCTGTTCAGTGTCAATGGGGAGAAGGCTTTGAAGCTGTCTTGAGCTTTCCTGAGCAAGTCTTAGTAGATTCTCATTCTGTTTAGCACCCAGAGTCAGGGAAACAGCTTAGACTCTCAGACTGGGACAGATCAGACTTTAGTAGCTTACATTAAAATTCACTGGCTTAGCCAACGCAGAGGACACTTCATGGGAGCACTCCACAAAGAATGCTGTATGACTCAGTCACTATCTTGACAAAAACTAAAACTGACAAAAGTGGATTTTTTTCTCAACTCGAATGGGTGTTTTTTTATCGCAGGAACTACTCCTTTTGCAATCAGGATATTAGATAAGGCTGAAACTTACTAGCAAGACAGGAAGATCAAATCCCAAGTCTGGCCATTTAGTAAGGCCTCATCATTAAAGGTTGTACAAGAGAATTTCCCTGTACCATAGAGGGCAAAATGCCCTTCCAGAATAGCTACTGTCCATACCTACCCAGAGGTGAATGGGACATCCCTATTCCGAGGGTTGGGGAGCACCTAGACAAAGGCCCCAGCCTCTGAAGAGATGGCACATCCCCTCAGATTCTCCAGGCAACAGCTTCACGGTTCTCAGGCAGATATTACTGGCCTAGCCTGGGTAGCAAAACTCAGGTATTTTCAGTTTTGTGGTCTGAATATAACACTCTAGTAAAGGTTTGGGAGGTCCCACGTTGGCAGCACTTCAAACTGCCCCTTTCCAGCACTCTGCTCTTGGTTCCCCTCAGGAGGAGCTACCATGAGTTAAATAGAAACACCATCTGTTACAGCTGTGTGAGAAGTGGTGTCTACCCTCTTTCTTATACACCAGTACCATTCTCTCGGAGTCACAGAAAGAGGCATAAAGGTTACAGCAAAATGAGGGTCAGGTAAACCTGTGTAGACCTTACATCAGAGGAACTAGGTTAATCAGCCATCCCCACAGGCCAGTCACAGAGGAATTAGCTCAAGTCCACACACACCAGAGCATATGTATCCCCGGTGCATGTGTGTAAACAAGAAATCAAGACAGTCACAGACGATACAATTGTCTTAACAAATGCATCACAGCTCAAGTGAAAGTGCACAGTGGTCGAAGCCTCTGAGAGATAGTGTTGCTGTCACTAAAGACATTTTCTTGAGGTATTATTATTTATTCAGTCTTATACTCCAGGGCAGAAAGCATAAGCAGTCCTGAAAGACTGAGCCTGCTCTCCATTCTGCTGCCCTTGACACTGACCCCAAAGGTTCACATACCTGGTTTGCATGTCTTCATTATGCAAGGCTCGCCTGCTCATCCCCCAGGGAACAGGAAATTGAAATGATAAAGATGACTTGACTAAAATCCCATGGAGAAAGAATCGTACCTCATTTCCTGAGGGAGGAGTTCAAGACGGGGCACAGCCATCATATACCGAAAGTCGGGGATTCTACAGCTCCATGTGTCATGTGGACACTCCAGACTCCCTCAGCTCAGAAACCTGACACTCAGGCCATTGAGGGGCTCTCCTTGATCCTAGATGTCTCCACTGCATGCTTAAAGGAAAAGCACACTCAGCAGTGCCTGGTAGAAATTTTCTTTGCATGGAGGGATGCCACAGGGATGTGGTGGGTGGGTGGGCTATGTGGTCACCTGCTCCCTCAGCTTTCATCTTGGCAGCTGGTCTAATTCTTAAATGTACACTTGCCATAGCTTTTGCTGTTCTCTGGACTGTTCTCTTCTCCATCTACTGGGTAGATGAGGCCATTAGAAATACTCAGTAGCCAGATCAAGCTGCCACCATGGCTCTGCATGAGGTGCTGCTCTTGTCTCCAGTGCTCTTCCTGATGAATCTGAGAGGGCATCAGGCTTTTGGCCCCAGCAGCACACAGATCCCTCCTCCCTCACCAAGACTTTGGAGTTTTTCCTGGGTTTCAGTATTATTATTTCAAATATGCTTGATCTTTTTTTTTTTTTTTGTAGTGCTGGGGATGAACCCAGGCCCTTGTGTATAATACACAGATGCTCTACCACTAAGCCACATCCCAGCCCTTTCCGGACTTTTAACTGTTCTCTGCTGTGTGAGCTGACCACTCTTGTATACATGCCTTACCTCCCACTTCCTGCTGAACCTCATCTGTCATGTTGAGCATTCATTGCCCTGCTGCTTAAGACCTTTCTATGGCTTTGTGGTAGTTTCTGTTTCTGGTAGCTTTCCATGGCCTGGAAGTCAACACTGGACTTCATCTGAAGTTCAGGTCCTTTATAAAAATCTTAAGGATGAACTGAGCACCAACCCTCAGGAAGCTTCACCTGTTAACATTCTCTCCTGAATTTCTTCCTGGGTCTATAATGCAGTTTCCTCAGCATGACAAATTCCCACATCCTATGCAAGTGATGTTTTGAAATTTGCCTTAGTGAAGAGCTTGACAGAAGTCCTATGCAACGCTGAACCCGTGAATCTTGCTCCTTTATGATGCTTGTTTATTTTTATCCTCAAAAACTAAAGTGTTCAAGTCAAGCATGGTTCCCCAAGAAGTTTTACTTTTCCTTCCTCATTACATATGATTAAGACTTTAGTGGCATCATTAACTCACAATGGACCATCTCAGTAAGTTAAGTGAGTTAGTGATAAGCTCGTAACAATCAGCACAGCTGAAAACACAGAGCAGAGTTGTAGACAAGGGGAAGGGGACAGCTTTGATAGGACCAGGAGGAAACTGAGGTTGAAGGGCTTTTGGCTTTTGTTTTTACTTAAGTCAAAATTACATGATTTTAGAAAGCCACAGTAATAGAGGGGACAGAGGCAGCAGGCCGAGATGTTTAGGATTAAACACTTAGCTTGCACCACCAAGTGCCAAGGTGAGCAGAGGCAGAAAGTCAGTGCTGGGAAAGCAAGTGAGCAGGACCCCGGTGACAGCAGAAACGAGCTGTTAGGACAGCTGTGGAAGACAGCAGGCCTCTAGGGGACCGAGAATCGGGCTCCCCAGTTGATTCCCACCTCATTAGGCCCTCAGCTGAGCTCACAGTGAATACTTTCTCTTGATTTAAATGTCAAATTGTTCTTGGGGGGGAAGGTTGATCTCGCTGAGTCACAGCTCTTTCTACCACAACAAAAAATGATGAAATTCAACAGAAAGGAAGATTGACCCTGAAAAATCTGCCTGGAATATCAGCCAAGACGTGAGCTTAGCTCCCATTCCAGAATAGCTGGTCCAGATCTCCCTGATTTTAGGACTCCTCTGCACCCACTAGGCTGGGCTATTTCCTGCTCTGCTCCAAAACTCAGGCCAAGGTCTTTTCAGATCTGTCACAGGAAGCTCTGGGACATGGGATCTTTGGTGGCCCTGTGGGTGACTGAGGAGGTGGATACTTGTTCACACAGGCTGTGAAGGAAGCCAATACCTCTGCCACAAAACAAGGAGGTGGCCCTACAGTGTGGAGAAGATTCCCCCTAGTAAGCAGAGAGCCACAAGGCTCCATGTGGGCAAGAAATAATGCAGAGCCAAATACACACTAATCCCTGCAGTGTGGCCTGTGCTCCGCCCTGTCATCCACCCAGACTATGACAGCCAGCAGGAAGCACACACTGGAGTGGTCTGCATGCCCCACTGGCATCCTCCGCAGATACACACACTCGTGTCCTAGGTGGTGCTGTTGCTGGTGATGTCTTCTCTCCTCGGCACAGATGGCTGAGCTGCTGCTATCAGAGCTCAAAGAGGGGGTTATATTTCCTGATCTCCTGCAGAAGCTTTTCTTTGTCCTGGTTGGCACTGGCCAGTGCTTGTTTGGTTTCTGTAAGTTCTTTCTGTAGAGTAGGCAAGTCTTTCTCCTGAGGAACAGTAAGTAGTTCACCATTAGGGAACGTGGCAATACCACCTTGCAGGAAGGAGGAAAGAGGAAGGAAGACTTGGAGCAGGAAAACCCCCAGGATAGGTCAGTGATTCAGATAACTCAGGCAGTATTCCAAGAGCCTAAGGCCCTCCCCAGAGCTTATGAGTTACAGAGACATGAATGGTGGAGCCCATGAGTGGTGATCGCCCCACCAGCTTCTCCTTTCAGCCTCTACTGGCACTTCCAGGGGCCACTGTGGGTGAACAGGAGCCCTAACCACAGCACTGCACATAACAGGAGACCTTCTCAGCCCCCTTGATTTTACTGCAGCCACAAATACACCCCCTACCAGTTTATGGGAAGGTACCGTCTAATTAGGTCCTCACCTGCGGTCCAACATCCTCTCCTGTGGGCACCAGGAACACCTGTTCTTTGGGGGGCTGCTGCTTCTCAGGTACTTCAGCCACTGATCTGTCCTGAGCAGGAGCTGGAGAAACAATGAAGGTTCTAAGTGACAAACAGCTGCCCATTGCCAGACAGTTCTTAGTTGTCGACTGTACTTATAGGAGACAAGCAGAGAAAAGCCCAACTCACCACCAAGGTGAAACACGCCATCGTCACTCCGCTTCAGCACAAGATGCTCCATGGCCAGAGTGATGGGGACAGGGCCAGGGGATGTTGGATAGATGGGGGGAATATCATCCTGTAGGAAGGAGGAAACCATGTGACTTCCCCACCCAGCTCAGGGCAATGGAAACAGCATATCCCTGCCTCTGCCACTCAGCTCAAGGTGGCTTGATGACACTGATTCTCCAGACACTCCTTAAAAAATTTATATTTAGCCGGGCGTGGTGGCACACTCCTTTAATCCCAGCACTCAGGAGGCAGAGGCAGGCGGATCTCTGTGAGTTTCAGGCCAGCTGGGGCTACAGGGAGACCCTGTCTCAAAAAGACACCCCCAAAAAATTTATATTTGTTTTATTATCTTTGTATGTCAGTACATGCACACGTGGAGGTCAGAGGACAACTTGGAGTGGGTTCTTGCCTTCCACCATGTAGGTCTCAGGGATGGAATCTAAGGTACCAGATTGGCAACAAACACTTTTACCTGGGAGCCATCTCTCCAGACCATCCATACAGTGTTTCAAGGTACAAGAAACAAGGGGCTCGGCATGGTTGTGCTACATGCTAAAGGCAGGGTGAGAGTTGCAGAAAGCCTAGGCCTCTTGTGTACATGTTGATGTTCATGTGTGCACACATACGTACATGTGGAAATCAGTTTGACCAGGTATCTTCCTGAATCTTCCTCCACCTTATATTACTGGCTAGTTAGCCCCTGGAATCTCCCTTTCTCCACTTCCCAGCATGCTTTTGTTGTTGCAATGAAGGTTCTGGGGGTCTAAGCCCAGGTTGCATGCTGGCACAGCAAACCCTTCACCAGCAGAGCCATCTCCCCAGTCCCATTGAGGCCCTTCATGGCCCCCCACTTCCATGACGCTGAAACACTAGCAGAGAGCTAATCTGCATTTCTTCACTTGCTCCTGTCCACACTGCAGTGACAGGGAGACATGAACCATCCCCACACTGCAGTGACAGGGAGACATGAACCGTCCCCACACTGTGCAGTGACAGGGAGACATGACCCATCCCCACACTGTGCAATGACAGGGAGACATGAACCGTTTCCACACTGTGCAGTGACAGGGAGACATGAACCGTCTCCACACTGTGCAATGACAGGGAGACATGAACCGTCCCCACACTGTGCAGTGACAGGGAGACATGAACCATCCCCACACTGTGCAATGACAGGGAGACATGAACCGTCTCCACACTGTGCAGTGACAGGGAGACATGAACCATCTCTACACTGCGCAGTGACAGGGAGACATGAACCGTTTCCACACTGTGCAGTGACAGGGAGACATGAACCGTCTCCACACTGTGCAATGACAGGGAGACATGAACCGTCCCCACACTGTGCAGTGACAGGGAGACATGAACCATCTCCACACTGTGCAATGACAGGGAGACATGAACCGTCTCCACACTGTGCAGTGACAGGGAGACATGAACCATCCCCACACTGTGCAATGACAGGGAGACATGAACCGTCTCCACACTGTGCAGTGACAGGGAAGACATGAACTGTCACTACAGAATTCTTTGACTGACAAAGTCCAGGTTAGACAAAAGCGGTCTCACCTGGAGGGTGATCCGGGAGTTGAGGAGCTCAATCTGCATGGGGACCACCACTGGAACTTCCTCATCCTCCAAGAAAGGGCCCAGGCCATTGAGCACTGATGTGAACAGGTTGAGGTCGCAGCCATGAAGCAAGAAATGCAAGAAGCCATTTTGTGTGGCCAGTGGGGAATGAACTGCTGCACCAGGCCCCACCTCAAAGCGAAGGCCCACAGCTGGCCTGAAGTGGCCAGTCTTCAAATGTGATGATTCCTGAAAGCTTGTACCTATGAGAAGAGTCAAGGAAAAGGTATTAACACTTCTTACATGAGAACACAAAACTGACACATTTATAGAACAGTTTAGTAGAATGACTGGGAAACAGTCATCTACAAGGCCTGAAGCACCCTTACCCTGATGCTCCATAATCTGCATGTGCAATACAGCCTCAGAAATGTAAAGCTGGAGACACGCTTGAATGTGTATGAGGCAGGTGTGAGGATGTTCACAGCAGCCCCACTTCAAGCAGCACAAAAGCCAGGAACCTCAGAACACAGGCGGCAGAGGCAGGAAGATCATGAATTCAAAGCCAGCCTGGGCTATATAATTCCAGGCCAGCCTGGACTGCATGAGACCTTGTCTCTGAGTGAGTGAATGAACAAATATAAATAAAGGAAGCAAAAAAAAAAGCAACTCAAATGCCTGTTCCAAGTAGACTGAAGAAGTCATTGGGGTAAGGAATACAAGGGGTTTTCAGGGGTATGATAGCAATGTTCTAAAATGGGCTATGATGGTGGCTGTACAGTTCTAAACTTACTAAAATCTAGAGATTTGTACACTTTAAATGAGAGCATTTTATTCTATTGAAATTTATCCTTTTTTTCTAACTTACTATGTAGACCAGACTGGCTTCAGATTCAGAAAATTACCCTCCTCTGCCTCCCCAAGTGCTGGGGTTAAAGGTGTGTACCATCACACCTAGTGCAAATTATATCCTAAAGCCTTAAGCCAGGAGCAGTGAGTCTTTAATCCCAGCACTCTGGAGGCAGAGGCAGGCGGATCTCTGTGAGTTCAAGGCCAGCCTGGTCTACATAGTGAGTTCCAGGACAGCTGGGGCTACAGGGAGACCCTGTCTCAAAAAGACCCAAAAAAAAGTTAATATATTTATACAGTAGAATATTATAAAGTAGTGAAAACAAATTGTTAGCGCTTCAAGAGTATCAGGTTTGACCTAGGCATGTGGTTGCATGTACCCATAATTCCAGCACTTGGGAGGTTAAGAAGGATCAGGAGTTCAAGGTCATCCTTGAATATATAACAATTTCTAGGCCAGTATGGGCTACAAGAGACCCACACTCAAAAATAAGTAAAAAGGCCAGGTGTGGTGATGCACACCTTTGATTCCAACACTCCAGAGGCAGAGGCACATTGATTTCTGTGAGTTGAAAGCCAGCTTGGTCTACGTAGTTCCAAACCAGCCAGGGCTATATAGTGAAAATAAGTACTTTTTAAAATCGGGCGTGGTGGCGCAAGCCTTTAATTCCAGCCAGAAGCAGGTGGATCTTTGTAAATTCAAGGTCAGCCTGGTCTATGTAGTGAGTTCCAGGCCAGCAGGGACTACAGGGAGACCCTGTCTCAAAAAGGACGCTCCCCCCGCCCAAAAAAAAAGTTTTATGAAAAAAGCAAATCACAAAACTATGATCCTATTTAGAAAACCTACAGAATTAAATAACATTGATAGAAACAAAAAGAAACATTAAGTCAAGTCAGAGAATGGCAAACACAAAAACCAGGATAATGATTAGCTAGGAGGAATGACAGGAGGATCAGGGGAAGAGCTTGCAGGAGTTCAAGGGTGCTTCTGGATATGTAGATCAGCTGGGGAGGTACAAGGATTCACTGTACTGCTGTTATTTTGTACTTTATACGTATTCTTTAGTATCTACTCAGTATTTTTAAAAAATATTAAGTGAAGCTATAAACATAAGCCCAGGTTTTTCTTATCTTTTTTTTTGAGACAGGGTCTCCCTGTAGCCCCAGCTGGCCTGGATTCGCTATCAAGACCAGGCTGGCCTTGAACTCACAAAGATCTGCCTGCCTCTGCCTCCCAAGAGCTGGGATCAAAGGCGTGTGCCACCATGCCCGGCCTTTCCTGTCATCTTTTAAAGTGTACATGGTAATTCACACCAAAAGACTGACTGTGAATGATAGAAGTTACCCGATCAGATACAACTTTCCTGTTTAAGCCCAGTTCTACCTGGGCAGTGAGAATAGAGACGAGCCAGTGTGAAGCCCAGGAGGCCTCTTGGAAGACAGGAGCCTCACTGGAGTATTTCCCACCCAAATGGCTGGACCAAAGAGTCAGGGCACTAGAAGCTACCCTTCAACATAGGGACAGGTGCCAGGTAATCTCCACTGCCCTAGAATGAATCCCACCATTTTTCTGGAATGGCCATCATCCTTACCTGGACACTGTCCGTGCAGAAACTGCCAGAGTCCCACGGTGCCCAGCTGCTGCAGGGCAAGTTCTTCAGCTTGCAAAGCAACCATCAGGTCCTCACCACGTACTTCAATCCCAAACGACACTTCATTCACCTTCAGGACCAAGACTGACACCTATCAAAGGAGATTCTCTTAGTTCTGAGTCTCAAGTATCTATCTAGCCTTGGCCCAGAGCCTCCCCTCTGCATAGAAGAAAGTAGAGCAGCTGACCGAGTGAAGAACAAGGTTGTCACTGGGTGATACTGAGCTGTTGGCCTCTGGCGACCCCTGGCCATAGTTATCCACAGCAGGGCTCCCTTGAACACCAGTATCATCCAAGACACTTGTCACAGGTCCTGGTAGAACAGATTCTGGACCAGACTCTGCAGGACAAAGGTACCAAGAGTTCAAAAGTTTAAAAGAAAAACTGTATTCAAACCCAACCTCTAAAAATAATGACAACTATAAAAAACAAATGAAGCCAGGCATGGTGGTGCATACCTTTAATCTCAGCACTTGGGAGGCAGAGGCAGGCAGATCTCTGAGTTCAAGGCCAGCCTGTTCTACATAGTGAGTTCCAGGGCAGCTGGGGCTACAGAGAGACCCTGTCTCAAAAAAAAGACCAAAAAAAAAAAAGAAACACCTGGATGAATTTAAAGAACTGTTGTTTTTGAAGTATCATGTAGCACTTGGTCACATTTAATACAACCTGTTGACAGAGGCACCCTAAATGTCCATTGGTGATGGATGGGTAAACAATGTGGCATACACTGGAGTAATATTTGGATTTAAAATGGAAGGAAATTTGGCCAGGCATGGTGGCACATGCCTTTAATTCCAGCACTTAGTCTCCAGGCCAGCTGGGGCTACAGGAAGACCCTGTCTCAAGACCAAAAAGAAAGGAAGGAAGTACTGTACATAGTAAAAAAAGAATCTTGACACTATATTAAAGAGAACAAATAAGTTCTAAAAAGGTGAGCAAGCCAAGTGCAGTCACACATGTCTGGCATCCTAACACACAGGAGGCTGAGGGGGGACCTTGAGTCTGAGACTAGCATGGGCTGTACAATAAGACCCTGACTCAAAAAAACCAAAACTAACCATCCCCCACGCAAAAAAAAAAAAAAAAAAAAAAAAAAAAGGGCATAGAATCGGCATCAGCAAGGATGTGAAGAAGAGACCTACTACAATGCTGGTAGCAATGTCAGCCAACCAGGCATGTGGAGCTCCTCACAGTTCCCACCTGCCCGAGCAATCCCACATCCAGCAGTGTGTTCAAGAAGTACTTTCACTTTATGGGCTGGAGAGATGGCTCAGTGCTTAAGACCACTAGTTGCTTTTACAGAGGACAAGGATTCAGTTGGTTCCCAGAACCCACCCTCTTCTGACCTCCATGGGCACTGCATGGGTGCACTTGCATACATAGAGGCAATACATTCATACACATTAAAAAAAAACAAAACAAAAAAAACAATTTTTTTTTTAAAAAGAAATACTTTCATGTTTGCTGTAGCACAACAGTCAAGTTATGGAATCAACTTTCATGAGTCCATTATCCAATGAATAAAGGAAACATAGCAGATGTGGGTGTATGTAGGCACATTTGTGTGTGTATAAAAGAAATCCTGTCACTTAGACAATATAGATAGACCTGCAGGATTGTGTCGAGTAAAATAAAATGAGCCAAGCAGAAAGGTACATGCCACATTGTCACTTACATGTGGTATAGGACACAATCACATGGCAAAGAAGAGAATGCTAGTTATTAGGGTCTGCGCAGTGGAAAGAATGAAAAGACACTGGTCAGAGTGCATAATTAATTCAGCTGGACAGGAAGGGTAGATGGTATGTGAAGTAGCAATTATCAATTAGCTTCATTCAATAATTCCACATCAAAGCATCACTTTGTACCCCATAAACACACACAATCAGGGCTAGTGAGATGGCTCCGCTACTCGTATAGAAAACCTAGGTTCAGTTCTCAGCACCTGCATGGTGGCTCACAACCCTCTATAACTCCAGTTCTACGGAATCCAATGCCCTTTTCTGGCCTCCGCAGGCACTGCATGCACATGATATACATACATTCATGAAGACAAGTATTCATACACATAAAATAATAATAAGCTGGGCATGGTGATGCACACCTTTAATCCCAGCACTCAGGAGGCGAAGGCAGGCAGCTCTCTGAGATCAAGGCCAGGCTGTTTTACATAGCAAGTTCCAGGTCAGCTGGAGCTACAGGGAGATACTGTCTCAAAAAGGCCAAAAATAATGATAATTAATAAATCTTTTTAAAAACATACAATTGTATTTGTCACTACCTAATAAAAAACAAAATAAAAAGAAAGGGGGTGCGGGTGTGTTTCAGTGGTAGAGCACCTGCCTAGAATACTTAGGGACCAGGGTTGGATTCCAACACCAAAATAATAATTATAATAATTTAAAAAAATAGATATAGGCTTGGAGAGATGACTCAGCAGTTAAGAGCACTGGCTGTTCTTGCAAAAGACTAGGGGGTTCAGTTCCCAATACCCACATGGCAGCTAACAACCACCTATAACTTCAGTTCCAGGGGATCCAACGCCCTCTTCTGTCCTATATGGGTATTGCATGACATGAGTACACTTACATGCATGCAGGTAAAATACATGCACAAAAAAAAATTTTTAGTAGATACTATAAATATTTTCAAGGGCTCCTTAATAAATTTCTATTTTGATAAGATAAGAAAGTTAAAACTTCCAGAGGTGATAGATTTAATTCTTAAAAGTTACTCACTTTGGGGCTGGAGAGATGGCTCAGAGGTTAAGATCACTGACTGCTCTTGCAGGACCCAGGTTCAATTCCCAGCACCCACATGGTGGCTATGAACCACCCTTACACTCATACACATAAAAAAATAGTAATAATAAATAAAGTAAGCATGTTATTTTAAAAAAAAAAAAGTTACTCATTTTATTTTGGGAACTGGAGAGATGGCTCAGCTGTTAAGAACACTGGTTGTTCTTGCAGAAGACCCAGGTTTGAATCCCAGCACCCATATGGAGGCTAACAACTGTCTGTAATTCCAGTCCCAGGGGATCAGACAGCCTCTTCTGACCTCTGTGGGCATTGCACGACATGGGTACACTTGCCTACATGCAGGCAATATACTCATACACATAAAATAAAAATAAATAAGGGGTTGGGGATTTAGCTCAGTGGTAAAGCGCTTGCCTAGCAAGTGCAAGGCCCTGGGCTCAGTCCTCAGCTCTGAAAAAATAAATAAATAAAAATAAAATAAAAATAATTTTTAAAAAAAGTTACTTATTTTATCAACAAAGCTTCAAGCTATTTTCCAGTAATAAGTACATAAGCAAACCAAAAAGTCAGACAACAAACATATGCCACTGATACCAAACACAAAATTAACAATTTTACAACCACATGGCTGTAAGACTAATAATTTCTTCTTTGATTTGAATCTCTGTCTGTGATGAAGATTAAGTATTAAGTGATAACCTGTAAGAGAGTTGGGCATGATTTCACGCAGCTATTATCCCAACATTCAGGATCAGGAAGGAGTTCAAGGGCAGCCTCAGCTACACAATGAGTTCAAGGCCAGCCTAAGCTATAGGAGACCCTGTCTCAAAAAACCAAATACTAAATAAAAAATAACCTAGACGATATGGAGATAAAACCAGAAAAACAAATGTACTGAACTTTCTCCCTCTTTCATTTTGGTTAAGAAACTGTTTTATCAGATCTCAGCACCACCTGAATCCCGCTAGTGTGAACCTCAGTGACATGAAACAGTTTCTAGACTAATGCAGCTCTCCTTCCACATACCAGACTCCAACAGCATCACAAAACTGTCACTGCCATCACTGTCCACGGAAATCCGGTCTTCCGGGCCACTGCTGTCCAAGGAGATGCCATTGAACGACTGCTGAGATACTGTCCTCTTCATGGAGAACAGTCGGAGACGGGCGGCGCCTCCACTCGCTGGGGCTGCCACCACATCGTCTGTCTTGGCCATGGCTTCCCTATGTGAAAAAACAGAAACAAAGGTGGTAAGATGGCTCAGGGGGTAAAGGTCAAGGGGGCTCCATGCCCTCTTCTGGCCTCCATGGACACTTATAGACACATGGCATGCATTTCACAGACACACATGTATACAAATACATTTTTTAAATCTTTAAGAAACAACAGAAAATTATAGTAAAAGTTATCAGACAACAGGCAGCCAAGGGACTTTTTTTTTTTTTTTTTTTGGTCTTTTTGAGACAGGGTCGCCCTGTAGCCCCAGCTGTTCTGGAACTCACCATGTAGATCAGGCTGGCTTTGGCTTTGAACTCACAGAGATCCACCTGCTTCTGCCTCCCCAAGTGCTGGGATTAAAGATGTGCGCCACCATGCCCAGCCTAGCCAAGGGACTTTTACATGTAAAGAATAAAAGGAAGAAGAAAGCTGCCAAGAACCAACAAAAGACAGTGGAAGGCACGGCTTGCAGACACCAGAACAACCAGTCAGCACAGTCATGGCAGCACCGACTCCAGGAGAGGGTGGCTGAGAAAAGGCTGCAAGTTTGCTGGTATTTCAAGAGCCTGAGTCACTCCTCCTCCTCCCTTTCAGCTCCGTCCAGCGCCATCTGGCAGCATATTTAGTGGTTTGGAACCAGGTTTTCACTCTTGATCTGCCACTCACAGTTCTGTGACTTTTTTTGCCCTTGATATTGGTCTTTAATCAAAAAAATATTAACTCAGGGCTGGAGAGATGGCTCAATGGTTAAGAGCCCTGGCTGATCTTACAGAAGACCTAGGTTGATTCCTAGCACCTATATGGCGATTAACAGCCATCCGTAACTCCAGTTCCAGGGGATCTGGCGCTATCTTCTGACCTCTGAGGGTACTGCATGACATGGGTGCACTTACACACATGCAGGCATAAATAACACCCACACACATAAAATAAAAATAAAAATAAATAGGCCGGGTGTGGTGGCACACGCCTTTAATCCCAGCACTTGGGAGTAGGCAGAGGCAGGCGGATCTTTGTGAGTTCAAGGCCAGCCTGGTCTACACAGTGAGTTCCAGGCCAGCTGGAGCTACAGGGAGACCCTGTCTCAAAAATACAAAAATAAATAATAAATAAATAAATAATTTAAAAACAGGCTGGGTGTGGTGGTGCACACCTTTAATCCTAGCACTTGGGAGGCAGAGGCTGGGAGACCTCTGTGAGTTCCAGGCCAGCCTGGTCTACATAGTGAATTCCAGGACAGCTGGGGCTACAGGGGAGACCCTGTCTCAAAAAGACCAAAAAAAAAAAATTAAAAGCGTGGTGGCATACACCTTTAGTCCCAGCACTCGGGAGGCAGAGGCTGGTGAATCTCTGTGAGTTCCAGGCCAGCCTGGTCTACATAGTGAGTTCCAGGCCATTTGGGGCTACAGGGAGATAGTCTGAAAAAACAACAACAAAAGAAATGCAACCAACAGGACTATTCTATTCATTTCCCTGGACTTCCCAATCTAAAAGTGCGCCCAGCAGGGGGCCTTAAACCCAAGGGTCAGAACTACTGGAAGAGACAGGGTGCCTGAGGGAGGCCGAGGGGCACTCACTTGGTGGGAGGCAGGGACAACATCTTGTGCATAGTAGAGGTCATGCGATCTCTGCCCAGACTGAAGGCATCCTTAGTCAGGGACATGGCTTCCTTGGTGAGGTCCATGGTAGCATGGAGAGCCTCCTTGGTGGCATCCTTGGTCATGTGAATAGCACTTGACAATTCCCCCTCAATGTGTTTCAAGGGGATGGGCTCGACTTGACCATTCACAGCGGCACCTCTGCCAGCTAGCGGCTTCAATGCAGCTGGTGAGCTGGAGATTTGGGCTCTGCTCACCTTCTTGGCCTGTAGGGACTCGACGGCCTCGTGGCCCTTTCCTGCCAGCTGCTGTGCAAGTGCAGCCGAGTCCTGCAGGTCTCCATCACTATGCAGCCTTTCCTGGGAGGCATCCAGATTTTCAACATTGCTGTCCTGCACAACCTTCTCAGGGCTCACTGGGCCCTGATCTGAGGAGGCATCAGACTTGGGTTCCCGTTCCTCTGACGGAGACAGCTCTGAATCTATGAGGCTGGTGGTATCTGAACCTGCAGAGTCAGCAGCAGCATCAGCAGTCCCAGGGGCAGGATGCATAAGCAGAGCCACTTCAGCACTGGGGAAGAGGACACCAACGCAAGCTGTCTGGTCCTGCAGAGGTGACCCTGTCATGGCCTCTGTATCCTTGGTCAGCTGCTCCTGGAGCCCCTGAAGTACCTCCTTCAGTCGGAGCAGGGCCAAGTACTGATAGTGGTCGAGCCTCACGCGGACATGGGCAGGGGAGTGTACAAGCATGTGGACATCTGCCACATCGTCCAGCTCTGCCACAGGCCCTTTGAGGTCCACACCACTACCACCTTCTCTCATAATCTCGTTGGCCTCTGTAAGACCCGACAGGCTTTTCAAATCCCGCTCAGTCTTCGACCTCTGATGGGACACAGACCCAGGGGCAAGAGTCTCAGAATGCACAGGACTGCCAAAGCTGGCTGACGGCTTCAGTCTCCCCTCTGAGGCCAAAAGGAGCTGCCGTGCTTGGGCTTGTTGCCAGCGGAGAGGAAGGCAGGCCCAAATGGACAAGGGGAAGGGAGCCACAAAATTCAAGGTATGGCCTTTGCAATTCTCTGTGCCTTCAAAGTCCAAGGAGATCTGGCTAAAGTGGAGGGACCAAAGATCCTGGGAAGCCACAGGCCTCTGGGGAGGGTGGGAACTAGGCTGAGCCGGAAGGGATTCCATCTGGAAAGCATGATGTAGAAAGAGCATGTGCAGAAGGCCGAAACCTCCCGGAACTCTGGGAAAGCGATCACAACTGGAACGAAAGAACTCAGCAGCAGCGAAACCCCGGAAGAGACTCTGGAGATCTGGACAGCTACAATGTGGGGCATGACGGGTGTTGGTGGCAATCATGCCTGATGTAGAGAAGATAAGGGCCTGGGGACGATGCAACTTCGCCTGCTCTCTCTTCTCCAGAGGGAAGCTCACCTTCAAACAGAAGATGAAACAATTCAGAATGGCATGAGTTACCTCAGCACTGCCCCTAACACACCTGTGAGCTGTGAAGCTGTTCAAACTTCTGTCAAGTGGACATAGCAGAACTACGGACTGGAACCTTGGGGAAACGCAGCCGTGCCTGCCTAAAAGGGAAGCCCCTCTCCCCCTACCTTCAACCAGAACGCATCCAGCCGGATGTCCAAGTGTTCATCTTTCTGCCTTGAATCTTCCAGCTTATAGATTGCTTTGAACTGCTCCAAGCTGCGGTATAAATCTAGGCAGAATAGGTTTCCCCAGAGCAAGCTGACAGGATCCACAGTAAATGTCAGGCCATTTAACTGAATGTAGAGATTGGGACAGGGAACTGGAAGCAAAGAAAACAAGGGTCACTGCGCACAAGCAGCAGCTTGATTCTTACTTACCAGATACAATTTCACTATCTCAAGAGGAAAATCAGACATTTGTACAAGGCAGAGTGCTTTTTTCAATTTTATTTTTATGTGTATGAGTGCTTTGCCTGCATGTGTGTAAGTGCACCTGTGTCGTGCAATGCCTGAGGAGGTCAGAAGGTGTTGGATCCCCTTGAACTGGAGTTTCAGGTGGTTGTTAGCCACCATGTGAGTGCTGGGAATCTAAGCTGGGTCCTCTGCAAGAGTAGCAGGGTTCTTAACCGCTGAGCCATTTCTCCAGCCCTTTTTAAAAATTATTTTATGTGTACAAGTGTATTGCCTGCAGGTATGTAGGTGCACCATGTTGTGTAATGCCCACAGAGGTCAGAAGAGGGCATCGGATCCCCTGGAACTGGAGTTATGGACAGTTGTTAGCTGCCATGTGGGTACTGGGATTCGAACCTGGGTCACCTGCAAGAACAACCAGTGTTCTTAACCGCTGAGCCATCTCTCCATCCCCCCAACCCGCCTTTATTTTAAACATTCATTAATTTAGTGTGTGTCTACACACCTACATGTGTACATGTAATGATGTGTTTGGAGACCAGAAGACAACTTGTGGGAATGAATCAGTTCTCTTCTTCCACCATGTGGGTTTTGAGGATTGAAACAGAATCCTTAGGCTTGGCAGTGAGTACCTTTCACCTACTGAGCCATCTCACTGGCTCTATTATTGTTTCATGTGTAGGAGTGTTTTGCATGTATTTAAGTACACTCCTGCATGCAATACCCATGGAGGTCAGAAGCAGCACCAGATTCCCTGGAACTAGAGTTACAGACTGTTGTTAGCCACCATGTGGGTGCTGGGAACCAAACTTGGGTCCTCTGCAAGAGCAAGCAGCCTCTTAACTGCAGAGCAATCTCTCAGCCCCTTGGCAGAGTTTTTTTTGTTTTATCTTTAAGACAGATTCTTGTGCATCAACAGGCTGACCTCAAACTGGCTCTGTAGCCAAGAATGACCTTGAACTTATGATCCTCCTGCTTCCATCTCCCAGAGTGCTGGGATAACAGGTGTGTGTCACCATACCCAATTTATGTGGTCCTGGGGAATCAAGCCAAGGACTCTGTGTATGCTAGGGAAGCACTCTACCAACTGAACTGCATCCCCAGCCCCAGAGCAGAGTTTTTAATTTAGCTGTGCAAAAATTAAACACCTAAAACTGCTATCAACAAATAAGACTGTCCATCATGGCCCCAAGGCTGACAAAGATGAAGGTAGGAGCAGAAGGCAGGGCCAGCCCAGGTGCTCACCTGGAAGGTCCTGATTATCTGGGAAGTAATACTCTGTGAACTCCACATGGATGGCAGACACCTGAGATGGGAGGCTGTGAAGCTTGCGACTGCAGGAAAGGAGAGTGGATGGCTTCTTACTCGGCTGTCCAGCTGTAGACACCTGAACAACCACAACTCACTGTTAGCCTGTGTCAAAGCACCCAGGACAGATCGCTACTCCCTCTGAGGAGCACAAGCCTCTGCCAACCCCCACATTCTTCCCTCTGGGAGCAGTGCTTTCCACACTCATTCCAGGCACTCTCACACCTGCCCTGCAGGTTAGCCTTTGTTTTGTTTTGTTTGTGGAGTCAGGGTCTCATGTAGCACAGACTGCTCTCAAACTCACAAGGCAGCAGAGGATGGTCTTGAACTCTCTGTCCTCCTACTTCTACCTCTCAAGTGCTAGGATTACAGACATGGGGCCACCTCACCCAGCTCCAAGTTAGTTTTTTCAGCAGGAAGTTATAGTAGGGCAGAGAAAACTGGGACAGTTTCTAAGTCCTTATCTCAGAAGCCATACTCAAGAAGCAACAGACCAAACTGTCGATCTACCCTCAAGTGAGCAAGCAGTCCCTAGACGCCACACCTTGGCACTGTTTCAGCCCACTGTCGCACATCCTTCCAATTTATCTCTGTGTGTCCTCACCTGGTGGATGTCCAGGTCATCCACTCGAACAACCAAGCAGCTAGAACGTAAGCGATTCCACGCTGGAGGCCCAAAGGCAGCCTGTCGGGCCTGAGTGGGGTTTTTGTCAAGAGAGTTCTTCCGAGGACTAGCGAAAGAGTCTAAATAAAAAGAAGATGGAAATGGGAGGAATATATCCATCCCTCATTATTAACAAAATAGAAAGTAAAACCCAAGAGCATTGGGCATGGTGGCACATGCCTTTAGTCTCAATACTCAGGAGGCAGAAACAGGTCGATCTCTATGAGTCAGAGGCCAACCTGTCTATATATGTGTTACAGACCAGTCAGAGCTATATAGTGAGACTGTCTTAAAAAGAGAAAAATAAAAGATCATTAATACTACAAATTGGGAAGGAAAGTGCAACTGTGGTTTAGAACTTGGAATTCAAGAAGAAGGGAGCAGCCTGCTGGCCTGGATGACAACTACCCTCTAACTGCAGCTATCTCTGCTGATAAAGGGGACTCCACACCATGACATACAAGGCGGGTAACAGACACACCACTGCTTTATCTCCACCGGCTACTCAAGGACACAACAAAAGCAGAGCAACTGGAGCCCTGCTGGTCCTCGGAACCCACCTGCTCTCTTCCGGAAGGGAGAGTCCACCCCCAGGTGCCACGGTGGCTTCAGGCCCATCTCCTCTTGCCACTTCTCCATTTTACTCTGAAATTCCATCACCAGCTTCTGGGCCCAGTGGCCTCGGGTCTCCATGGCCTCACAGTGCCGCACCCAATGCCTGCAGCTATCACCTGCATGACAGAAGGACTCTCAGCCCAGAGCTGGGTCCAGTGCCCATGGCTCTTTCCTGTCAGTACAGTCAGAGCTCCATGTCTCCTGTCTCCTTCCCATTGGTACAGTCAGTGTTCCATGTCTCCTTTCCATAGGTACAGTCAGAGCTCCATGTCTCCTTTCCGTTGGTACAGTCAATGCTCCACGTCTCCTTTCCGTCAGTACAGTCAGTGCTCCATGTCTCCTTTCTGTCAGTACAGGCACAGCTCTGAGTTGGATCCCATCCCCAATCCAGAATGCCCTGAGATAAGGAAAAACTACCTACTAAGAGCTCTCAAGTTCTTTTATTTTTTCACTAAGTGTTCTAAATTCCCCAACAGGTAGCTGCTGATCACTGCCATCCTTGACTGTGGATAACAGGAGGTTCTAACCCTAAGGGACTTAGGGGATAAAGGTAGAATCAAAAGCAACACCCCAGGTATGGCCTCCTCACCCCGCATCATCCATCATCAGTAACAGTGGACCATCCAGGTTTCTGGGAGATGTGCTCTCCTAGGATATTCCCAACACCACTCTGGGCAGGTGCAGCAATCTCCAGCACCACTGCAACATACTGCTCATCAGTCAAGGATGAACCCAGGAACCCGCCCTCAGTATTTTGGGCCATACTAGAACTGACCCATCCAGATTTCTCTGACCTGCAGAATGGAAGGGGTAGTAGTCAAACGCCATCTTTCGGAAGGTAAGCTGCATGGCACCTCCTGTGAGCCTGTTTGCAGAGACTCCTATGGAGGAGAAAACAGTGACTAATACTGGAAGAGCAAAGAAGTCTAAGACTTGACTCCCGATAGAACCTGGCAAGCAGCAGAACTGCAAGTCAGCGGCCTGGCAGGGCTGCAGCCTCCTCCTTAGAGTTAACAAAGGCCAATGGACATGTTCTAAAAGAAGTAATTTTTTCCATAAATGGCAGCCAGATTTCCAGAAAAGCCAAAGAAACTGAAAAAAATTCATGATTCAAGAATTTTGCCATGCGTGATAGTGCATGCCTTTAATCCCAGCACTCAGGAGGCAGAGGCATGTAGATCTCTTTGAGTTCAAGGCCAGCCTGATCTACAGAGAGAGTTCCAGGAGAGCTGGGGCTACACGGAGACCCTGTCTCAAAAAGACCAAAAAATAATAATAATAATAATTCCGGGGAGGGGGGTGAGTTGCTGGAGAGATGTCCCAGTGGTTAAGACATTGGCTGCTCTTGTAGAAGACCAGGATTCAGTTCCCAGCACCCACATGGTGGCTAACAACCTTTTGTAACTCTAGTTCCAAGGGAATTCAACACCCTCTTCTGACCTCCTCGGGCACTGCACAACATGGGTGCACTTACAGCAGTACACTCATACACATAAAATGAAAATAATAAAATACATTTTTTAAAAGAAGAATTCCAGCCGGGTATGGTGGTGCACGCCTTTAGTCTCAGCACTTGGGAGGCAGAGACAGGCAGAGATCTCTGTGAGTTCAAGGCCAGCCTGGTCTACATAGTGAGTTCAGGTCAGCTGAGACTACAGGGAGACCCTGTCTAAAAAAAAAAAAAAAACAAAACAAAACAAAAAAAAGAATTCCAATCCTAAGTTTCTCTAAGATGTACTCTACAGAACTACTACTGGTTTCCAGGCTGGGGACACAGCAAGTAAAGAGCTTGCCTAGCATGTACAATGACCTGGGTTCATTCTTAGCACTGCATAAACCAGGCAAAGTGGTAAACAATTAAAATGCCATCACTCAGGAGGTAGAGGCAGAAGGATCAGAAGTTCAAGATCACCCTCAGCTACACAGAAAGTTTAAGGCCGGCTTGGCATTCATGAGACCCTGTCTCTCTTTTTTTCTTTTTTTGTCTTTTTGAGACAGGCTCTCCATGTAGGCCCCAGCTGTCCTAGAACTCGCTCTGTAGACCAGGCTGGCTTCAAACTCACAGAGATCCACCTGCCTCTGCCTCCTGAGTGTTGGGATTAAAGGCATGCGCCACCATACCTGGCTTTCTTCTTTTTCTTTTTCTTTTTTCATTTTGTGAGACCATATCTTTAAAGAAAAGAAAGGGAATGACTGGTTTTCCTAACCCCTACAGAGCTAGTGTTATTGACCTCAATGCAACACCTAGGAACAAGCCAGAGTCCCCAAAACAGAACCCACAGCATTTCCTCTCTCTTCCCACCCTCAGAGCCGACATTAGATGTCAGACCAGCATTGTATACTATACAGATACAGTACCATGGAATGCTTAGAAAGGCACTGGATAATAATATATATGGAATATTTTAGGTAAAAGTGAACATCTAGCAACAAGTCAAACATTACATTATATGTCTTGAATTTACACTTAATTCCTTCTGAATGAATAAACTGTTCATGTTTAATCTCGTCTCTCCAATTAGACAACTTATTAGTACTTACCCTAGCCCCTACTCCTGTATCTGGCACAGAGCTTGCTCAGTACATACAAGGGGAAACATAAAATGCCATAAAAGGAAACACCACAAATCTGTGTAGAAGCCAGTGCGGACATGTTCAATGACTGGGAATACTTCACAGCCTCAGTTCGACAATCCCAAGGATTCCTTATCACCCCTACATCAGACTGTCTGCTCCTCAACCTCCACTCCCCACCCCGACTTCGGGTGTCTTGCCCTATTCTTATTCCCTCAAGACAGGGTTTCTCACTGACCCCAGAACGCACCAGTTTGTTGTTGTTGTTTTCAGCTTAGCTGTCTCCTGTCTTCACCCAAAGCCCATTACTGGGGTTAGAGCTCCATGAGGGGCCACACCCAGTTTTTTGATGAGTGCTGGGGATATGAACTCATGCTTGCACAACAAAGGCTCTTGCCCATTAAGCCATTCCCAGCCCTCAATCTTTCTCACAATAATGCCCCCTCCAAATCCTTTGGATTCCCATTGTGCATGCTCACTGTACACTGTCCTAGTACATAAGAAGTCTTTCTTTAATTTTTTTTCTTTATTATTTTCTTTATTATTGTATGAGTGTATTGCCAGCACGTATATAAGTGCACCATGTCGTGCAATGCCCTAGGAGGTCAGTAGAGGACGCTGGATCCCCTGGAACTGGAGTTACCATTGTTAGCCACCATGTAGGTGCTGGGATTCAAACCCAGGTTCTCTGCAAGAACAACCAGTGCTCTTAACCACTAAGCCATCTCTCCAGCCCACCTTTTTTCCTTTCTTTAGCTAAGGATGAGTTTGAACTTCTGGTCCTCCTGCCTCCACCTCCTGAATGCTAAGATTACCAGCACGCACAACTACACCCAGCTTATGTGGTGCTGAGAATCCAACCTAGGGCTTTGAGCATGCTAGGAAAACACAAACTGAGCTACATCCCCAGCCCAGAGGACATTTTCATACAAGTATATAATGTGGGGCTGGAGAGATGGCTCAGTGGTTAAGAGCACTGACTGGTCTTGCAGAGGACCTGGGTTCGATTCCCAGCACCCACATGGCAGCTACGAACCGTCCTTTACTCCAGTTCCAGGGGAATCCAAAGCCCTCTTCTGACCTCCGCGGCACTGCACGACACGGGTGCACTCACATACATGCAGGCAATACACTCGTACACATAAAATAAAAAAAATTTAAAAACCCAAAACAACAAGTATATAATGTATGTTGAGCATACCCCACCATATTTCCCTACCCCTCTCCATCTAACCCCTCCCCAACATGTCAGTCACCTTTCTCCCCAAGCAATTTTGCTTCTACTTTCATGTCACATGTACATGACTTTATGTATCTATATAAAATCTAGGAACCAGAAATGAGAGAAAATATGACAGTTGTCTTTCAGACTGATTTCACTTAGTGTGATTATCTCTACACACTCTTTCAGACTTTTGCCTAACTGCCCCTCAAATTTTAATATCATGAATTTTATATATATACATATATATTCATTTTAAAATTACACACACATACATCTGTGATTTATACACCAAAAGAGTATGTATGAAGGTTCTTGTTTTTTCAATTCAGGGTTAAGAGACACTAATAATCACTTTAAATTAAATTTTTTTTTTTTTTTTTTTTTTTTTTTTTTTGAGACTGGGTCTCCCTGTAGCCCCAGCTTTCTTGGAATTCACTATGTAGACCAGGCTGACCTTGAACTAACTCACAGAGACTGGCCTGCCTCCACCTCCCAAGTGCTGGGACTAAAGGTGTGCACCACTACGCCAGGCTTTAAATTAAATATTTTAAAGTTATTAGTACTTAAATTTAAAACTATACTTGCTGATAATGTGGTTTTATTTTGCTTTTGCTAAAATTTTGGGCAGGATCTCATGTAACTTAGGGCAGTCTAAAACTCACTATATAGCTAAGGATGACCTTGAACTCCCTATGCTCCTACCTCTGCCTCCTAAGAATTATAGGCATGTACAACACCACCCAGTAATAACGCACTCCTTTGGAGAGGCAGGGAGAGTTGTTGAGACAGGGTCTAGCTATGCAGCACCAACTGGCCTCAAATTAGTAAAAATGCTCCTGCCTCAGCCTTCAGAATGGAATCAGGAGCATGTGCAGCCACACCCAGCTAATAATGCACACTTAAAGCTTAAAAGCAGAACAAAAACAACTCAAAGCTGCTGGGCATGGTGATCTACACCTGTAGTCCCAGCACTCCTGAAGCAGAGGCAGGCATATCTCTGTGAGGTCTGCATAGGGAGCTCCAGGCCACCTGGGACTACAGGGAGACCCTGTCTCAAAAAAAGACAAATAAGTAAATAAGCTAGGTTTGGTGGTACACACCTTTAATCCCAGCACTGAAAGGTAGAGGCAGGCAGATCTTTGTGAATCAAGACCAGCCTGGTCTCAATATCGAGTTCCAGGCCAGCTGGGGCTACAGGGAGACACTGTCTCAAAAAGACCAAAAAATAATAATAATACATAAATAATAAAAATACTTGTTTTTAGTAGTCAACTTCTTAGCGTTTGCCTGGAACTAAGGCCCCTAAAAGTTAGTAGATTATCTCTCATCTGAGCCTGACAACAACCTTTGAGTAAATGAGCAAGATTATGATTCAGCTCCTTCTCCTAAATGAGGAAACTCAAAGAGGTTAAGCAACAGGTTAAAATGACTTCTCTGGGGCTCATAGGCATGAGTCAATTGCTTTTTTCCTCCTAAATAGATATGTATGTGTACATATGACACCAACCAGCCTAAACCTGCCACTAACAGAACATAACCCTTCCTATACACTTAAGCACAACATACATTTTGAATGACTCAAAGTCCAAATACTCTGGGTTCGGGAGGAATTCGGTGGCGAAGCATGTGCTTAGTATATCACAAGGCCTGGTATTTAGTCCCCAGTCTGAAGAAGAAGGAAGTCTGAAAATTCTGAGGTTTTGTAATTGCATTTACTTTTCCTAAAAAACTAACACCAGTGGTCCTCAACCTCTCGAAACACCAGCGTTTCTAAGGAATTTGGGGAGGAAAACAAGTTCATACTGTCTGGGCTCTCTCACTAAGTGCCTTAGGCACTGGAGAGAGCTCAGTGCTTGCTACTCTTGCAGAGGATCTGAGTTCAGTTCTCAGTACCCATGTAGACAGTGCACAACCACCTGTAGCTCCAGCTCCAGAGGGATCTGATCTCCCTGATCTCTGTGGGCTGTACTCATGTCCACATACTCATATACACATATATATCTACAAATAAAAACAAATTTAAAAAGAAAAATGGGCTGGGCGTGGTGGCGCATGCCTTTAATTCCAGCACTAGGGAGGCAGAGGCAGGCGGATCTCTGTGAGTTCAAGGCCAGCCTGGTCTACATAGTAAGTTCCAGGACAGCTGGAGCTACAGGAAGACCCTGTCTCAAAAAGACCAGGAAAAAAAAAAGGAAAATGAAAAGATTCTACACTAGAGGGTGGGAGAAAGGCCTTACACATGTTTTGTGAGTATGACAGGTAGCTGCTGCACTGTTCCACAAAGACTGAAGAGCCCTGCCTCATGCCAACGGAGAGCTACCACAGGCGGCTGAGGCCCAAGCAATGCCTGTGATTAAGGAAGCCACTGAGGGCACCACAGTGTGTCTGGGAAGAAACCTTCTTCCCAAGCTCTGCGCATACTACAGTGATGTGCACCACCCAGCCCAGGTTCAGGCCTTAGGGGTACCTGGCTCTCGGGACTGGCTGTCATCACAAATGTGGAGATCCAGGCGGGAGATGAGGAGATGGTAGGAAGACTCTTTCACATCGAACTTCTCAAAGTACTGGCTGAGACGGCTACTGCTGCTGTTGCCCTGGCTGCCACCAAATGCCTGGGCCCAGGTCTGCTGGGCACTAGGAGGGGGTGGAGTGAGCTACATGTGACAGAGAGAAAAACAAGACTGTGACAGTCCCACCTGAGTAAAACCAGTTTAATAACACCCCCTCCCCGTCATAACTTCTTGCCTAATCTCTCACTAAACACTATCCCAAGGAAACAACCCAAACTCCACAGAGCCTAACTGCAAAGCGTCTAACAACTGTCGAAATACTGTTCTCAGGTTTGAACTGCCCTTGAAGTCATCACCCACCAGAATTAAGCTGACTAGGCACCAAGTCCTCTCCTCTAGAAACCCTCCCTAAGGGTGCTCTTTCATGCTGAGTGGGCAGTGCCCTCTCTCTGTGCTCTCATAGTGCAGTTCTGGCCCTTGGCCAACACATGCTAACAACTTGTCAACTGTCTTTCTTCTAGAAGCTTTTGCAGCAACAAGATCTTCTCCACTCTTTGGCAGCTAGTACTGACACAGTGGAGAAACCCAGTGAACAGAACCAGTGAAACAGGAGAGGGGCAGCCGAAGCCCACCAACATCCGAAAGTGACAAATCCCCCAAATAAGCCAAATAAAGCCTTAATTTCCCAACACATTGGCACAGTTGAAGCAGATCTTCAATCTCCCGGCCCCATCAAGGATGTCCATTTTGTCTCTCTAACCTGCACGGGCTCAGGGGCCAGGCTCTTCCTCTGCTGGGCTGCCTTCTCCATGGCCTCACTCAATGACTCAGCATACTTCATCATGGCCTTGAGCTGTGAGTCGGTCAGCACCCAGAGCAGGTCATCCAGCAGGAACATCAGCTTGGATGCAATCACATTGCAATCTTTGGTCTGAGGAGGCCACAGAAAACACGAGTTTAGACTTTGTATCATTCCCATGCCCAAAGCCAGTGACCAGTTTCACAATGGTCTTTCACCTTCAAGAGGTGAAAAAGAAGTATCAAGCCCCAGAAAGCCTATGTGCCACAAAACAACTCTCAATTAACAAAAAGTAACAACAGTCCACCTCAACATACTTACGCCAGCGAGCAGATGATATAGGTAGAAACTACAGTTTCCAAAACTAGGAATGCAAGAAGACAAGGCTCTCACTGGTGGGGACCAGTAACATCGCCAGCGATGACAGAGCAGCTTCCAGACTAAGAAAACAGTTTCGTACAGACTGGGAGCACGCACTTACTCTTCTCTTGAGGGCTATCTGGATCCGGCCCTGGTTGGTAATAAGCCTCAGTGGAGTGGTCACTGGGTCCTGATCACCACTGTCTGTAGCATCTGCTTCAATTCGAAGTGTCTGCCAAGTTATTTCCTTAAATGTTAGAACCTGAAGGAAGGAAAGTCATATCCCTTATTCTCTGGATCAAATTAAGCAGGAGACAGGAAATCTCGGGGGAAAAGACTAGTAAGGCAGAGCTGCCGTATTCTCAGCTGGGACCCTAACACAAGGCAGTGGGTCCAGCCGGTAACTAGGGAAGGCTGCAGCAGTTAACACTGGACAGAGAAGATCCTGGGGTTCCCAGGAATGGGGAATGTGAGGACAGCTCTAAGCGGGAATAACATCCCTTTAGGAATGTCTCCTACTTTGAATTCCACCCCTCCTTCCCCTCAAAATGGTGGGCTGTCACCTCTCCTCTGCAGGGATCTGTGACGCGGGTCAGACGAAGGTCGCTCTGCTGCCAGTTGGGGTTGACGCTATAGCCCTGGAGCTGCCACAATTCAAAGGAAGCATGGAAGGCCTTGGAGTGAATCTTGATGGTGATGGAATTAACGATGATGAACATCCCCTCTACCACCTTCTCAGCAAAGCCGTACTCACTGTAAGGAATGAGGGAGGGGGTGGTCGGAACCATGTGGACTGCAGGCCCCACATGACACCCCAAGACACCAACCAAGCTACTGGGCGCTACAAACATCGGGGCTTATTTTTCTTTCTTTTTCTCTTCTTGTTTTTGTTGTTTTTCATTTCTCGTCTTTTGTTTTGATTGTGGTTTGGCTTGATGGTGTTGAGACACGGTCTCAGGCAGGCCTTGACCTCACTGTGCAGCCCAGGCTGGCTCTGAACTGTTAAACTTGTCTCAGCCTCCTAGTGCTGGAATGACTGGGAGAGCTACCACACCCAGCTACTTCCTAAAACTTTCCATTTATTTATTTTATGTGTATGAGCCTTTTAGCCTTAACTTTTTATTTTTTGGTCTCTTGAGACATGGTCTCCCTGTAGCCCCAGCTGGCCTGGAACTCCCTATGTAGCCCAGTCTGCCCTCGATCTCACAGAGATCCACCTGCCTTTGCCTCCCCAGTGTGGATATTAAAGATGTGCACCACCACACCTGGTCAAAAGATTTTTTCGGGGGGAGGGGAGTCTTTTTGAGACAGGGTCTCCCTGTAGCCACAGCTGACCTGGATTTCCTATGTAGACCAGGCTGGCCTTGAACTCAGAGAGATCCACCTGCCTCTGCCTTCCAAGTGCTAGGACTAAAGGTGTGCAACCACCATGCCCGGCTCAAAAGATTTTTTTTTTTTTTTTTTTTTTGTCTTTTTGAGACAGGGTCTCCCTGTAGCCCCAGCTGTCCTGGAACTCACTGTGTAGACCAGGCTGGCCTTGAACTCACAGAGATCCGCCTGACTCTGCTTCCTAAGTGCTGGGACTAAAGGCATGCACCAGCACGGAGATATATGAAAAAAAGAACTATTTTTAATGGAACTTTTGTTCAGTACTGAGGACTGAATTCAGGGCTTTGTGCATGCCGGGAAAGCACTCAACAGAATTAGTTTGATCCCTGGTCCTCTCAGGTTTTTGTTCTGGGTTTTTGTTATTTCTTTTGGGGCAATAAATCTCATTCTATTTGTAGCTCACAAACTGGTAACAGATATCATCAGTGAAGGGGTCATAGCATAAAAAGACACTAATCCCTAAGGAATCTTCAAAGACTGAGTACTCTATACACAGGGAGGGGAAGATGAAAGAAGTGCAGGCTGGTCAGAGGGTTAATGCTATGCCAGCTACTCAGGCACAGGCCACCACCACCCTGGTACACAGCCCAGAGAACCACACTTCCCCAGAAGACAGAAATGGCAGAGAGAGAGGACAGAGACATCCAGAAGTCCTTCTGGCTGTAAAAAACACATTACTTCTTTTTAAAATTTTTTCTCAATGGGCCTGGTGGTGCAGGCCTTTAGTCCCTGTAGCCCCAGCTGGCCTGGAACTCACTATGTAGTCCAGGCTGGCCTTGAACTCACAGAGATCCACCTGCCTCTGCCTCCCAAGTGCTAGGATTAAAGGCATGCCCCACCATGCCCAGCTAAAAAAATAGTTTTAAAACCACAATGTTTTCTCTATTCTTTGAAAAACTCCATTTATATAATGTCCCCTTTTCTCCCACTGCCTCTGAACGTCATCTTCCCACAAGTCCCTCTATTTTCATGAAAAATATTCTTTTAAAAAATATATTATGTTTATTTTATGTATATACGTGTATTGCCTGTGTGTATGTAAGTGCACCTGTGTTGTACAATCCCTGCAGGGGTCAGAAGAGGACATCAGGTCCCCTGGAACTGGAGTTACAGATGGTTGTTAGCTGTCATGTGGGTGCTGGGAACTGAACCCAGGTTATCTGCAAGAATAGCCAGTGCTCTTAACTGCTAAGCTGTCTTGCCAGCCTTAAAATACAGGTGGAATCACTTTTCATTACAAGAAACAAAAAAGGGGGGCTGGAGATATGGCTCAGCGGTTAAGAACACTGGCTGTTCTTGCAGAAGACCTGGGTTCGAATCCCAGCACCTACATGGCAGCTAACAACTGTCTGTAACTCCAGCTCCAGAGGATCTGACAGCCTCTTCTGTCCTCCGAGGGCATTGCACAACATGGTGCACTTACCTACATGCAGGCAATACACGCATACACATAAAAAATAATAAATAAAAAAAAAATCTTAAAAAAAAAAAACGAAAAAGGAACCACATTCTTGAAATGTAGGTGGAATCACTTTTCATTATAAGAAAAAAAAAGGCTACAAAGAAAAACTGAAAATACACATTCATATTTGCAGTTAGTCACACAGGACTAATAAAAGGTCCAAGAGTCCAGCAAAACTGGAAAAAGTATAACAGTTCACAGAAAAATTATGTAAATGGTACTACACACAAAAGAATGTTAAACTACCAGGTATGCTGGTGCACATTTTTAACCTCAGCACTTGGAAGGCAGAGGCAAGCAGATCTCAGAGAGTTTGAGGCCAGCCTGGTCTCCATAGTGAGTTCCAGGGCAGCTGGGGCTACAGGAAGACCTGTCTCGAAAAGACAAAAAAGCAAATTTAAATAAATAAACAGCTGTGCCTGATGCCTACTTTAAACAACAACAACAAAATTATTCAATATAGACTAGAAATCTAAATATGAAAAGTCAAACAATAATGCTTTTAAAAGAAAATTTCTTCATGCCTTAGGATAGGAAAAAATTGCTTAAACAAGATATAGTAAGTGCTAATAACAGGGGAGAAAAGGCACATTAGAATTACTTATTTCTACTCAACAACAACAAAAAAAGTTAAAATAGGAAGGCCTGAGGGTGTACCTCAGTAGTAGAGCTTGTGCTTAGCAGCCTAAAGGGTTGGGTTCTATCCCTAGCACCAAAATCAAACAAATCAACAAAAACCTAAGAGCAACACTAAGCGCAGAGAAAGGATCTCTGCAATCCATGTCTCCAACCAAAACCAGTTTCCACACTATACAAAGAACCTACACAGAATTAACCTCAAATGGTCGAGCAAAACACACCGGTACTTTCCAAGAGAGGATACCCAAAATTCAAACAAAACAATCCACAGAAAAATGCAATTTAAACCCAGCATATGATACACCTCTATATCCACCAGAATCACCAAATCAAAATGGCAACACCAGGTGTTCCCAAGGATACAACACAAATGCAACTGTCATATTACTTTTCACATTTGCATACATAACAGTCAAAATGTGTCTAAGCCAAGCATCATGGTGCACACCTGTATTCCAGCCCTTGGGAATCTGAGGCAGGAAGATCTCAAGTTTAAGGCCAACCTGAGATACAGAATGAGAGCAAAACCCAAAAAGTAGGGCTGGCAAGAAGACTCAACTGATAAAGGCATCTGATGACCAAGTCTGATGACCTGAGTTCAATCCCAGGGACCCAAACAGGACAGAACTGACTCCTGCAAGTTGTCCTTTGACCTCCACAGACACCCTGGCACATGTGCCTATACCAGAAACATACTCTCTAAATAAATAAAAGTATAATTTAAAAAGTAGAATAAAATAGTAAAAAGTAGAGTGCCAGGCATGCCAGCTCATGCCTGTAATCCCAGCACTGGGTGGGCAGCGGCAAGAGTACCGACCACAAGTTCCAGGTCAGCAAGGGCTACAGAGCCAGACCCTGTACAGAAAACCCCTTGAAGAACTTGACAGAGATTAGAAGCACTCCTCTTTTTTTCCTTTTGGCATGTGTATGTGTGTGATGTGTATACATACTCACTTGTGGGGTGTACATAATTGCATATGTCTGTGGAGACCAGAGGCTGATGTCAGGTGTCTTCCCGATCACTCTCCACCTTATATATCACGGCAAGGTCTCCCACTTGAGCCCAGAGCTTGCTGATTAGATTTAGCTAGGCTAGCTGGACAGCTTGCTCTGGGGAATCTCACCTCCATCTCCAAAGGCTAAGAGTCTATGGAGGCCACCACAGCCCTCCAGCATTCATGTAACACACCCTGAACTCACTCCCACAACTACATGGCAAGTGCTTTACCCAATCTTTTTTTCAAGGGGAAAGGAAAAAAAAAAAAAAGGCAGTGTCTCCCTGCAATCCAGCCTGGAACTTGCTGTGTAGACCAGGCTGGCCTGATCTAACAGAGCTCCTCCTGCCTCTGCCTCCCTAGTGCAATGTGAGAAATTACACTCATTTAGAAAAGGAAAAGAAACACCCCCTCCTGAAGGAAAAAAAAAAAGAAATGTAAACATAGAACATAAAAATATGTAAAAGTCCAAAATAACATATCCCCACCAAATACCAGTAATCCTCTAGAGGAGCACAATGAGAATCCCCTAGAGACAATGCAGGACATGGAACTCAAAAG